GCTCCACACCCACTCAGCGATCACAATTTCAGTCATGGAGCAGGGGCTGGGAGCTCCCTGGAATGAGCACAGGCTGCTCCCAAGTGCTGTAATTACACAATTACTTCTGCTGCTCCAATGTGATTAATCGAGTCTGCTGGACCATGATAATTACCATCATAATTACATGCTCCAGCAGCCTCCTGCATCTTGTGTATTAGTGTCCCCATGTTCAAACTGATGGCAGGGCGCTTTATCTAAAGCTCATTGAATGAGCTTTAGTTCAAGTGTCCTTAGTAGTATATAGGGTACACATCTTTTCATACTGTCCTTGCTGCCATTTTGAAGCGTGGGGACACTGATACACAAGGTGCTGCAGCGTTTTAATTAGAGCCACTTGAAGAGCCACTCTAATTAAAGTGCCACCCCCTCCCCTGGAGCACGTGTAAAAGTGCCCTTACATTGGAGGTACTAAATTTATGCACATTAGGAGAAGAGCATGAATGTACATATAGATGCGTCCACTAGCTACTTTATTACTTTTAATTCTCTCTCTCATAAAATGTCCCTACAATATGATTATTAGTAGTGTCTTCTGTATTGTTCTCTTGCTAAGGGGTCATTAAACAAATACTTGTTCAGGTATTCTTAAAGGACTTCCAATTCATTCTTAAAAGCCTTCCAAATGTGTTGCTTTCTTGAGAGTACAGGTAAATAATTTTCCCTGCCCAGTAAAAGACATAGTGACAAACAGACCAACTCACCCCTTATCAAGGAAAGTCATCCATGCCATTTTAGAGATTTGTTCTTGTCTAGTCTGGTAATTCATTTTCCTGTTTCAAGTATACTCCTCATGGTCTCTCTAGCTCTTTCCTCCTTCAGTTGTTACTGCCTGCTTTGCAGCCATTTATGGCAATGGTGTCAGACTTCAATACCTGGTTGAAATTATTACCCAGCACCATGCATTACAGTTTTAAGTGCATGCAAACTTATCTCCTCTCTTACCATAACAAAGAGTGTAACAAGGCAATGAGAAGCATCCCTCATATTACTGCAGAAGACACCATGGATTATGCAGAAAATGTTTGGAAAGAGATTTGAGAAGTGTA